TTGTACTAATTTTGTCTATGTTCTGGCTTTATTTAGGTACTTTTTATTGTAGGTTTCTTCTATTTTGTTATTTTTTTTGTAATTTTTTGAGGGATCGTCGGAAAGAGTTTTTTTCCTAGTTAGCGCAAATTTTTAATAATCAACAATCGTACGTATTGTTCCTATAACCTAGTATGTAATATTTATACTCCTTGTTTAGTGAATTCATATTAAGAACTGTATATTAACAGTTTTATTCAAGAACCCATTATAAGCTTACCAAGTTGGTCTAAGCTATAAATCAAATCTAAATTTGTAAATAAAAACTATCGTTACTATCAGATTATATTCAAAATGTCAAATCGTAAAACCAAATCTCTTGACTCAAGCATCAATCTATTTTTTATTGCCGCTCAATTAAAAGCTTCAACTAATAATATTGATGATGAATCCTTTATGACTTCGGAAGAAGAAAATAATCCTTGTCAACTTAAAGTACCAAGATTGACTAAGGAATCACTAAACTGGAATTTGAATTGGCCTAAAATATATTCTTGGGTTTATCGTGAAGAAGGGTCATTAAATAAATATATGTTTTGTCTTTGGTGTAAGGAAGCTGGTAAAAATAATAATTTTACCAAAGGTTGTGAATTTTTAAAAAACAAAGCTTAGATCGTCATGTTATTACTAGTGATCATAAAATGATTTGTGCTGCTCGAATGCAATTTCAAGTTACTTTGTATTCTAGTTTTGCTATTCAAGCTAGGGCTGATCAAATTAAAGTTATGAGAAATATGCGTAATATCTATTTCTTAATTTAGCATAATTTGTCTACCAACATATTTGAAAGTTTATACAAGTTATCTGAAATTCAATGTGCTGAAAATCAAAACTAGTTTAAGTGTAGTGTAGATATTTTAAATATATTTAATGATTTTTCTATTGATGATGAACGGGCACTTTATAGTAGTTATCAAAATAATGTTGCAGCTTACGAATTTATTGAATCAATTGGTCGTGTTATAGAACAAGAGGTTTTTCAAGAATTGCGTAACTCAGATGGATGGAGTATAATGCTTGATGAAAGTAATACTATTTCAACTGAAAAAGTTTTAGCAATTGTTTCTAAACATTTAATTGCACCAGCACAACCACTTTACCGATTTCTTGGATTAATTTCTTTAACAAACAATACTGCAAATACAATTGTAGCAGAAATTGATCGATTTATCCAAACTAAGAATTTATTATATAATAAATTAATGCATATTTATACTGATGGCGCTAGTATAATGACAGGTAATATATTAAATTTACTTATATTCAAGTTGTTAATTGAATTTATTTGACCTAAAAATTAGACTAATTAGATAGATATTCAATTTAAATTGAATATATATCTAATTAGTTTAATTTTTGAGTCTAATTAAAACTTTGACTTATATAATAATATAAAATTTATTATTTATTTTTGATAATTATTGTAGGTGTTCATATTGGAGTAACAACGCAACTAAAAAATAAAAATTCATTTATTTTAGAACATCATTGCATTTCTTATAAATTAGCATTAGCTGCAAAAGATGCCGCAAAGCAAGTTGAAGAGTTTAAATCATATGAAAAAATTGTGCATAGCATTTATAGTTATTTTTCACGAAGTATAGAGCGAATGATGCATTTTAAAATGATAGAAGAAAATATTAGTGATCCTCAACTTACTATTTTAAATATTATAAAGACCTGCTGATTATCATTATCTAACGTTATTCAAAATTTGCATAAATTTTAAACTCTATAATTAATGTATTATGTGAGGATTCGGATAAAAGTATAATTGCTCAAGCCTTATACAACAGTATTGATAGAAACTTTATTATAACAACAAAATTTTTTGCAGACATTCTTGGAATTTTAAGACGAATGAATCTTCTTTTTTAAAAAAATAGTATTACAATTCGTGAAGTAAAAACTCAGCTTGAAATTACTATTTATACTATTCAAGTATATAGGATAACTTTCTCGTGATTGGTCGTCACATGAAATTGAATAACACGTTATTATTGGCCAATTGTGAAA